TGGTGAGCTGTGTATCAATACTGGCCAATCGTTAGGATTGAGAGTCTGAAGTCATCATACAAGCATAGGAAGAAGATGTAGCAACATAATTGGCCGCATTATCCGTATACGAGTCAATTCACCTCTTCAAAGCTGAATGGTCTCCAGGGAGTTTTGCGAGTCCCTCATAAAGTGTTTGAAGTTTAGGTGCTTGAGACAATATTTTGTCGGTAGGAGTATCGCGGATAATACATTTTATGAAATCAATAAAGAATAAAGCAGCACGGCGATGAACATCAAGAACGATCTCTTCAGCATTAAAAATTGACATTTCAGAGGGGGCAATATGATGCAAGGGTGGACCCTATTCTCTTATAGGCATGTAAGGGATAGCCATATCAACCTTTTCAACCGCCTCCATAATTTGACTAGTCACTTCAGCAACCCCCAAAACATCCGAATGTTAAATAGCTCTGCTTCTTTGTAGTGAAACCTCTGTACCTTTTCCTATCGCAGTTGCCAACGCTAAGGCAAACAGTCCATAAATAGATTCTTCACTACATGTTAGGTTAGCAACAAAGACGACATCTTCCCTGAGAAATCCCTCGTTGCCTTCTGTCTATTAGAAGAAGAAAAAAAAGTGATGGTAAATCGCGAGAGAAAAAAATAAATAAAAAAGTAAAAATAAAAAATAAAAAATAATAATAATAATAATAATACCTGTATAGGTTGTGAACTGCTAGGTACCTCATCAAAAATCGATCAAGAGAAGTGGCAACACATTCCTGTACTGGATCAAGTCTCACCTTATCAGTGACATGCTTCCAATTATGATCCTTATCACAAGCTCTCACATCCTCATCTGAATCCATTGCTAACTGATGATCGCGACGGTTATTGATTAGTGGTGGGACCTCTTTTGCTATCTGGTGATGACTACTAGACCCTCCAACAACATCACAGTTATTATAAGATTTGATGGTTGCCTTTGGCATTGGCTTAGATGGGAGGCTTGACTCCAACCCCTTAATTAAAACCTTCCTGATTTTAGTTGGTTTCTCTGGTGGGGAAATCATGCGTTTAGGTTGCTTTGAGGTAGTTTCCTATGTAAATGGATCAACATAAACTTTGGCCTACCATTCAGCATATGCTTTCGTGACCCCGAATTTCTAAAGATTGGAGCTCGAAGGAAGCAATACCTTACACCCAGAATGGAAACAGGTAGACAATCTCCATAGTTTCATAACTTCTTCTAATTTACTAGTACGAATGTCCCTCTTCAACCTCCCTGGGACATCTTGAGGAAAGTGAAATTGTCTGCTAAACCTATGCGGACTGTAAGGCTCAATAATGAAATGGTTACCTTGGCACAATGTCAAATAACTTGACCGAAGGGAGGCAAAATATTCAAAAATTGAGAAATTTTGCTGGTTATCATCCACAAATAGTCGCTCTGGCTTGAATATTTTAGACAAATGTGATAATTTGACACCTTCATAAAATCTGAACAAATTTTGGGCTTCTGATTCATCGAAGTGCTTCGCTAACCCTTCCCCTTCGAACTGTATCATTTGAGGAACATAGTTGTGCTCTGGAGAAATAAAGTGGGTGTTGAAATATTTGGCTAGCCATCCATACACATAATGAATGGAAAATGGCACTACTGAATTCCATGGGGTAGAGGAAGATACAATATCGTTCAAGCCCTTGTAAATGCTGGCTAGGACTGGAACAGAAAGACAAAACCCATCACCATCCGCAATCATGCTAGCAACTTTGAAAACTCCAGGGCGAATCATATTTTCAGGGCTAGAAGGCAGAACGAATTTGCATAACCAACAAGCTACAAAGGCAACTAAATAAGTTTTCCTTTTCATCCCCTGTTCTATTCCAAGGCTGGTGAATACTTCATCCGCCTACAAAGTCCAAGTATGAACGGTGGTGATCACTCCAGAAGGATGCTTATGAGTTTGTTTGGGACGTTGGGTTTTGTTCTTTGACGCTTTTCTTTTAGATTTTTCATACTTTATTGGGCCTTTAAACCAAAACTTTACCCAATCAGAAATCTTCATAGTCTGCTCCGTTGTATGCTGTTTACAAATATGGTAGAAGGCAGAAAATAAGTACCGACAGTAAGGAGGAAGGAAAGGTTTACCGTCTTTGTCTGAATCTAATAACTCTTTCACAGAAGGGATAACTTCTTCGTATTATTTGCTAGAAAAAGGAAGACCTCCTATCACATACAAGTCACGAAGAGAAATTGACAATTCGCCTATTGAATAATGGAGGGTGTTGGTAGAAGAGCACCAAGATTCAAGGAAAGCTTTAAGAACAGGCCCAGGGTGATCGTATGTGAATAAAGAAGCAAATATTGCACCATATAGTCTTTTTTTCTTTAAGGAATTTAGCATGGCGACCCAGGATGTCCTCTGACCATTCCTAATAGCCATTAGTATAGGATAAATTAGGAATCTTGAAGGAATTACCCAATTTAGTTTCTTTAGCACGCATCCTATGACCCAAAAGTGAAAAATGTTCTGGCGCCTTTATTGGCTCGTGAAGTGCAGAGCGTAAAATCAGAATATTTGAAATCGAGCTTATCTCATTATTCTGATTTAGCCAAGGTTGGAGAGCTCACAGGATGATATGCGGGACCACTCTGGCAAATGATGGTACAGAGAATCAGAGTGAAACGGTTTCAGTGTAAAGTGGTCAACAAGAGAAGTTCTGACATCCAAAGTAGTTCATTTCTCTATGGTGTCGTTCTCTTGCTTCAAAATGGTGATAGTATAGGGTTTGAAACTTTTGAAAAACACCATGGTTGACTAGCACCCCCTGAAAAAAAAAAAAAAAAGGGTTAGCACTTGGGAAAAAAAATTAAAAAAAAAAAATCAAAATCAAAAATAAAAATAAAAATAAAATAAAATAAAAAAAATCAAAAGTGTGGATTGACATGCATGAAAGATTTTGGTTCCAAAGGAACGATGGGTCCTTACGAACTAGATGCGTTTCGAAGGAACAATGGGTCCTTACGGACTATATGCATTCCGAAGGAACAATAGGTCCTTACGGACTAGTTGATTTCCAAAGGAACAATGGGTCTTTACGGACTAGTTGCATTCCGAAGGAACAATAGGTCCTTATGGACTAGTTGCGTTCCGAAGGAACAACGGGTACTTACAGACTAAATGGGTTCCAACGGAACAATGGGTCCCAGAGGGACTAAAAGCATGAAAAAAAAAAGAAAAAAAAAAAATTTCTTCCAGCAAGCGTGGAGAGAAATAATAATAATAATAATAATAATAATAATTCTTCCAACAAGCGTGGAGAGGAAAAAAAAATTTTAATTCTTCCAGCAAGCGTGGAGGAAAAAAAAAAAATTTGTTCTAGCAAGCGTGGAGAGAAAAAAATAAATAAATAAATTTGTTCCAGCAAACGTGAAGAAAATAAATAAATAAAATTTGTTCCAGGCGTGGAGCCAAGACAAAAAAAAAAAAAAAAAAAAAAAAAAAAAAAAAAAAAAAAAAAAAAAAAAGAAAAAGAAAAAGAAGAAGAAGAAAATAATAATAAAAAAAACAGTCATACTAATTAATTGTATTCGAGCAGAGGCCGCAATCCAACACAGTCTTTAGAAGTTGTGATCTGACAAGTCTTCAGAGATTATTGGAATTGATGTCAAACCCTACAATATTGCGGGTATATATAGGTAACAAAATACCTCTAAATTACATTGGGATTTGGATAATTCTGTTCAAATAGGAAAGTAAAATTTCAATCCAAAGTTGGATAAGAAAGCAAAAGAGAAAATCTTACAATCCAAAGTTAGATAAGAAAGTGAGTAGACACTAAAATTTAGTGGGCTTTGGTTTTAACAAATGGACCCATTAAATATGGGCCTAATGTTTAATTAAGTTATTTAATTGGTCCAGGCTTGGTCCACTTAAATTGTTTAATTAGCCCAGCCCAGATGATTAAATGAAAAGATAATTATTCCTAATAAAATATATTTGGAATAATTAATTTTAAGGATAATTATCATAATATAACCGGCCCGGTCCAGTTATGATTTTTTTTTTTCCTTATCATGAGATGACACGTGTCATCATCCTATTAATCTAAAAAGCCTATAAATTGAGGTCGGGAGGAAGAAGAAAGTGGTACAAAAAAAAATTGAAGGTATAGAGATTCAGAATTCAGAAGTCCAGAAACTCAGAAATCCAGAGACTCAGAAATCAAACCCAAAAGCGAAGAATATCAAGCACATCCAACGACGTACCGTTCTTCATCAAATTCCACGGTGATTAACAACAAACACATCCAACGACATCCAATGACGTGCCGTTCTTCATCAAATTCCACGGTGATTCAAGAACAAACTCGTGCAACCCTTGGATCCAACCAACAAAAAAAAGGAGATCGAATGAGAGAACCATTCTTTTTGTAAAAGATATTACTTGTACTCCAAATATTTCTAATTTAATAAATTATTATTTTGCCAATATTTATTTTGTCTTTATTTGCATATAACAAAATTTGTGTGTATAAGGATAAAGTGTTATAAATAAAAAAATAAAAAATAAAAACCACTTGTTTTCGGATATAAAGTTGGTGTTGTGCACTGCGTGTTTAAGCCGCTTAGTGGGCTTTTTCTATTTGACAAGTGAGCATTATTTCTAGTCTTATCCTGAGAGCACAAATTTAAAATCTAAACGAGTGGAACCATCAACGCCTGCAGAGACAGCATCTGATGATTGATAGGTAAGTTGTTTTTGTTAAATTTTAATATTTTTTTTCACCAAACACCAAAAAATAAAAAATAAAAATATTATAATTTAAAAAAAAATATTTTTCCATCCAAACAAACCAACCGAACCTAATTATCAACCTTTGGCCCATTTAAACAAGGCAAGTATAACTTCTAATACATGCCCTCCAATTTGAGTGCTAAATCCATAATTAGCCCATCCTCGGTGTAAACCAACCACCATCGAGAACCATTTTCTAAGTTTTATGCAATAATCTTAAACCAAATCAGTTGCATTCCCATCGCAAAGTTGGAACCACCTAAATTATAAATATAAAAGAAACCACATTCAAGCCTAATTATGTGAAGTTCGTACAGTTTGAACTCTTAACTACAAAGTGTTACAAAATAACTTTCCCATGCTCTGGAATTCCAGCCTCCTAACCAACCATCAGAACATCGAAGAGAAAAAAAAAATCAAAATTCGGCAAATAGACATTTACTTTCTGTTCCTGCTCTCCTCTCTGTCTGCCTCCCGTTTCTTGTAAAGCTTCTCAAGGACACGCTTCGCCTCACATTGGGGGAAGTTTTCAAGATCAAAGTAGTGTGGTGCTATATCAACTAACCTGAACCAACCAAAAACACAAGGCCAAAAACAAGCCCCAAAAGAACATTAGAAAAGGACAAGATATATGTGTGTGTGTCAAGACCCCAAGTTATATTTCAACAGCTCGAATTACTTAGGTACTTTTTCTTTTAAAAAGAAGTGTACATACTACCATAAATTTCAAAATAATATTTATTTTGGAGGAACAAATCAATAAAGGACTCTAAAACCTACCTAAATCCTAAAAATTGGACAATCTAAAACCTACCATGAACATGTCAACTAAATTCCTCATAAATTAAGTAATGATAATTCTGTTACCTTTTCATACTTCAAAAAAATTTCTCAATCTACTTTAAGATTAATGATACTTATTGTATCTTTGTTTAACTTAATTTTTTACATTTTTGGTATTTTATTTTATTTCAAATTTTTCTATTTTACTTCCATAAAATTACTATTTTCTGCTAATAATATAATTTCAAATTTCATTACTTTATTTATTTTTACTTCTATCATCTTGCTCAATAAAGTATGTGTTTATTTTCAAATTCTATTTCTTCCAAACCCAAAACTTATTACTTTATATATTTTCTTTACAACTATTTCTTTTTATCATTATTTCCCAACTACCCCTCACTAGTGGGTCCAGTAATAGCAATAAACAAAAATCATAGATTTACGATCACGTATAAGGAAAGAGAAACTAACCATTCACCACGAATATCTGTTACTGTACGGATGAAATTCCTGCTTGTTAAGACATACTCGTTATAAATTACCCAATCTGGCTTGTGATCCAGGCAATTAGAAGGATGCAAATGAACCATCTGCAGATCATCAGAAATTGGCTAATTTAGCATTCAGAAGTTAGCTATAATGCTTGTCTCCTATAAGACAAATTCACAATTCTCTTGAGCTTAAAACAATTTAACAAATCATCCTACATACCTGATTGTCTTTAACAGTCAGATAGTGTCGAGCGCGCTCCAGATGAGCCACCTGCATGAAATATCCAGCTAGCATAGCCTTCCTAATGTTGATGTAGTAGTCACGGCTGTTAAAATCTGTGCTGCATAGCTTGAGGTTGAACCTGGCCATGATCCGAGCTAACTGCTGTCTCACATTATCAGCTGCTTTCAGTGTCCTATGATTGATAAAATTTTCGTAACACCAAGCTTGATCCTCATCTGAATTTCATTCACAGATTAACAAAATTGAGAACACCAAATGGCAATGATAATGGCTTTCATGATTATTAAAGTAAAAGGGAAGACAGAGAGAAGGGAATAAGTACTCACTATTTTGCTTGTAAGCATGGTAGACATTCAAGAGCGTGAGGTGATCCCCATCAATGTGCCCAAACCGAGCTTTTGCTTCATCTGCAGCTTTCTGAGCCTCCCTAGGCCGGACAAAGCAATTGGGTACTAAAGAAAAAATTGGTTATCACAGAGGAGGCCCACGGTAGGTCAGTCAGCAGATGCATAGAGGCGGAACAACACCATTTGCTTCATGAGAGAACTATCTGCATCAGCACTTACTTAGAAATTCTATGGTGCATGCCAAGCGGAGGCATGGAACACAGACAAGACAGTTGCTGATGACAACCTAAGCAGACACATACATTTAACCACATGCAAATGCACTTCTATGCACAGGGGAAAACCACCAATTTTTTGTGAAACCTTAATGCATATGTATATGAAAATTTAATTTTAAAAATAAATAAACAAAATTGATATTTCATTGGTTAAATATGATTGATTTACTAATGGTTGGAAAAGGAAAAAAAAAAAGAAATTCCTGGGTCCACCCCTGTGAGTGTGCATGTGTATGTAGTTAAACGTAAAAACGTCATATGCATAGAGACATGTCCATGCACATGCTTTAAAGAATGGGCATGCATTCCCAAAACTAATATGAGACTCAAGATCGACATTAGGAAAGCTAGATAACAAACTACAATACCTGAAAGCATGGCAGATATTGACAGAATTTCATTTGAACAGTTGAATTCTGGACTGACAACAAGCATCTTTGACATCTGTGGATCTAAGGGGAGTTCACTCATAATTTCACCCAGTTTGGTCAAGTTTCCATCATCATCCAGTGCTCCCAAGTAATTCAAAACCTCTAATGCTCGCATCAACGTCTCTGGGGCAGGAGGATCCATAAAATCAAAATGGACCAGGTCATCTATCCCCAGTTTCTTCAAGGTAAGGACCGTATTTGCAAGGTTTGATCGCAGTATTTCTGGATAGGTCTGTGGCTGAAGATCGTCATTGAAACTTCTCTCAGTGTAGAGTCTGAAACATTTACCCGGTTGTGTTCTTCCAGCACGTCCTGACCTCTGGTGTGCACTTGCCTTCGATATTGGAGAGACCAACAAAGATTCAACGCGCACTCGTGGATTATAAACTTTTTGTTTAGAGAACCCGGGATCTATGACGTAAACAATACCATCTATGGTCAACGAAGTTTCCGCAATGTTTGTTGATACAACAATCTTCCTTCCAGGAGGACCACCATCTGATAATGGAGGGGGAGCAGGATCAAAGATCTTCTGCTGCATAGCAGGAGGAAGCGTAGAATACAGAGGAACTGCTTTCACAGGCCCCACCTGATCTCCCAAATTTGCAATTTCTTTTGATATTTTGCGACATGCATCTTCTATTTCTTCCTCCCCAGTAAGAAAAACAAGTATATCACCAGGGGACTCACACAAGTGTATTTGCACAACCGTACGAATTGCTGCTTCTAGGTAGTCCCTCTCAGGTTCCTGGGTGTAGAAAATCTCCACCGGATGAAGTCTACCAGGAACTTTCATAAGAGGTGCCCCATTGAAATATCCCTGAAACTTTTCTGCCTCAAGAGTAGCACTCATTACAACTAGTTTTAGGTCGGGTCTGTTTTTCAGCACTTCCTTCAGAAGTCCAAATAAAACGTCAGTTGCCAAAGTTCTTTCATGAGCTTCATCAAGGATTATCACTTTGTACCGTTCCAAAAGTGGATCGGTCATGGCTTCTCTTAAAAGCATACCATCTGTTAGATACCTGCCGTGCAAAAGAAATTATAAATAAATTTTAATGCAAATTTAGCAAGAGAAAAAAAGGGGGGAAATAAATCACCACATGTACACCATGAAGCCTTACAAGTCCAATTAAATGATAACATTAAAAGGAAGAATTCAGAAGCTAATAGAACAGCATTCCTCTGCAGAAGAATTAACTTACTTCAAAACTGTTCTTGCACTGCTGCAGTCTTCAAAACGAATGCTATAGCCAACTTCCTCTCCAATAGTTACATCCATCTCTTCAGCAACTCGACGAGAAACAGACATAGCAGCAACCCTTCGAGGTTGGGTGCAACCAACCATGAACTTCCTGCGCTTATCCGTGGTCTCTATTTCAATGGCTTCCAAAACAAACTGAGGAATCTGTACTACAGAAATACTGCCTTTGTTAAAATATGTTCATAGAGCAAGTTTTAGTTCCAAAACCTCCAAATTATTTCTAAATAAATGTGAACTAACACATTCAAATCAAATACATGCATGCCTAATATGATAACAAGAACACCTATCAAAAGATCTAAGGATTATCCATGACATCTAAAAACAATTTCCTGATGAACACCTAAAAAGTATGTTCCAGCTAGACATCACTTGAAAACCTTATCCAATTGCAGTAGAATGAGGTTGACAATATACCCTAAATATTAGGTGACCCTTTCCAGCCCTTCAATGATGGCAAAGGGCTTAAACAGATAGGAGAGACACTGGCAGAGAAGGCACAAACCCAACTTGTGTTCAGGTCAGGGATTGGTTGGAGGCCCATCCCACCCTACTCCAGTTGCATAACTGCTTCACTAAAATATCCCTTGTAATTCCTAAAACCCTAAATATTTTTCTGTACCTAGCGGTCCTAATCTCATTTAAGATTTCATCCTATTCCCAGTAGGGTGGGACTTGGACAGGAAGTAATGCCTCAGCCTGTGCCACCCAAAGTCCTGAGTAACTCATTATACCTCAAGTTCTCAACCAGCACCATACTCTATGGGTTTTTCAGATTCTCGGGGGGTTCAATAAATTAATAGCATGCTAATAATATATATATATATATATATATATATATATATATAAATCATTCAATACTGAAATTATATATACTTAACATGAAATAAAATCACAAAAATTTTGTGGGATTCAATAACTTTCTTTCGTATTAGAATTTCAAAAGAACTCAAAAGCTTCTATTCTTTATTATTTTGAATCTAAATTCAACTAATATCAGTATTAAAATTTTACTTCAAACTTTACACGCAACTATGTCACAAGTTAGGAAAGTGACTACCAATAATATTTGTTAATAAATCATTCAATCTTAATCGTATTTAATATAAGTAACATTTATCCTTAGAAATATAAAAAACAATAAGCTTTTGTTATGTTTCAGGTTAAATGGGTTGCTTGTGTTAATAAAACCTTAGCCAAAATTCCATACAAAAATAATTCGGGCTCTAGTTTGAACCCACCCAATCCCAAGAACTCAAATAACTTAACAGCACTTGTAAAAAATTTTGAGCAGGACTTGGGTTTCTCGGGTTAGGCCCACCCATTTCCCACCCCTTATTCTCTCAGCTTGTCATGATCTCATCCCCTTCCCTTTCTCTCTCAGAATCTCTGTGCCCTTTCTAGTTCTAAAGATGTTGCAAATGTCTGTTCATAAACTAGATACTATGTTGTGGCCATCACATGACATGCTCAGTCTCCTGGTCACTTCTAGATGTTAGGTTGTTTATTGTTTGTGTTTTCTTTGATACATGAAGAAATTAGGGGTATCAACAAGATTTGTTGGTCTCTTCAATTTGTCATGCATTTTATGTGTGTGTGTGTGTTTCTACACACACACATCAATTTTTTTTTTAAAAGGCATTCAAAAGGGGATCGCATCCCAAATACAACAAGAAAAAAAAAAAAAACAAGGTGCCCTAAGGCCCCAGAGAAGAAAGGAAATCAATTATTTCCTCAGGGGAAGAGAAATATCTACCCAAATACATCAACTTTTGAAAGCTTGGTTGACTTCGTATTTTTTTTTTCCCCATCATGGGGTTGTTCAATTGCCAAGAAATGGCAGAAAAGACGTTGGGAAAAAAAAAAAAAAAAAAAACACCCCTGTTAGGTTTTTTAATAGAACTGTAAATTAACTAATTAAGTGCTGAGAATTTTAAGTGAAATTTTACATACTGTATGATTTCTGATTTATTTTAAGGGTGTATTTGTTCCTTCACTTTGACTCTTTTTAATTGGAATTTATATTTTTAAATGACTCAATTGGGTTATCAAACAAACTTAAATCCAAAATCACTTAATATGTTCAGTTTTAAGTGTTGAATTGGTTTATCAAACAGCACCATAGTTGATGATGTGTTAACAGAACAGAATAAAGCAGGACTTCTAACTGAGGCAGGGATATGGAGAAAATACAAAACCTAAAGCAGGATTTTTTTTTTTATTGAGGTTGGGGATATATAGAAAATACAAGACCTAAAGTGGGTTTTTAATGGAGGTTGGGGGTATAGAGAAAATACAAACCTATCTCAGGTGCATGACAAAACCAGGGGGTTAGGGCGAGGTCAGATCCTGCAAGGCATGGTCAGATGAGGTGTCCTATCCCATACCCACTACCAATTTTATCCCTAATTAGAACCTAACTACACAGTGTGTAAACTTATGTTAGTTTCTCCACATAGTGAGATTTTATGAAGGTAATGTGTACCCATATGTTTTTATAGAAGAACCAAATTTAACCCTTCTAGAGGAGTCTCACGACTCACGACAGTGGAGATCCAATCCTCTTAAAAACAGAGATATGGAAGGAGAAATTCAATGCAACACAATCAATCTTCATCTTGATTTCCGCTTCTAAATATTGCTACCATATCACCTTTCCTTTTGTATAATTCTGACTCATTATGTAGGTGCACCAATATTGCCTTGAATCTCTCTCATATCTCGTGCATCAATATTGCATTGAATTTCTCCTTCCATATATCTGTTTTTAAGAGGATTGGATCTCTGCTGTCGTCTCGTGAGACACTTCTAGAAGGGTTAAATTTGGTGCTTCTAAAGTTTTAACAACTGCAAGGGGTGAATAAGCCAAATCAAAGTCAAGCAGTTGTTAAAACACATATGGGTACAAATGCAGAAGGTGACAGTGTAGGAGAAGATGCTGTAGTTAATGTGTAGATTCCTAAATGAAGATCAAAAACTTTCTGAGCTATAACTACCCAACCTTCCTTTGCTAAGGATGTGGCAATCAACATATTTACAAATTCATACGTGTGTAAAAATTATCAGTAATACAAACGTCTATTTATTTATTTATTTTCTAATGACATAGAAAAAATATTTAAGAGTTGTATGTCCTATATAAAAAGACGATGAACACACTGAATACATGACACTAGAGCATCCTAGTGTAAGATTCGGAACTAACAATTCCTCAACATTCACATCAGAATTCAGAACTAACAATTCTTTAACATTCACATGATTAAAGATCATTAAACAAAATAGCCATCTTAAAATCATAAAACAGTAATGTGAAAAATTACACGCACAACCAAATAAAGAATTCCAAAAAAATTTAAAATAATAATAATAAATAAATATATAAATAAAATTCTCAGTTTGGCTTCCATGAAAACTCAATGGAAGTATAATCAGTCAAAAGTTAGGAGTCACAATGGTTCAAAAACAAAAAAAAAAAAGAAAAGAAAATCAAATTGAATCACAATTGGGTATTATTAAAAACTGACCTGGGTGGTTTTACCACTACCCGTTTCACCAACCAAGACTAGTGTTTGATTGGCTCTCAAAGCTTGGAGGAACTCTTCTTTCTGGTGCCAAACGGGCAGAGTCTTCCTCTTCTCCAGTATCTCGTAATACCTCTGCGAGTAGACCCGCCCATTCCACCTGTTCACCATAGACATAGACGACGTCGTTGGGTTGTTGCTTCCGTGAACTACTATACCAAAGCCGTTTGTTCTCGTCAATTTGGCAGAGGCTGAGCTCTCATCGACAACATCGAACAAACTCACCTTTCTCTTCCTCTCACCCATCTAAATTTAAACCCTAATCTTCAACCAAATCACACGAAAATCCAAAACCCACAAATCCTTCTTTTCCTTTTTTCGAATTGAAAATATCTCTTGGGATTGTTTAATAGTAGTGGTCTCGACCTCAATATCGATCGAAACCCTAAAAACACAACAGTATCTGAATCTGAAGAGAAAATGGGTATAGAAGGTTTATATACACACACACACGAAAGAGGCGGCGTTAAGAGGAGAAGAAACCTTTTTCGATTGAAAGTAGTACTGCTATCGTGTGGTCAATTTTTTATGGGCCAGACAGTGTGTTTTTTTTTGCCAACAGGTCTAATTAGGATGGCAATTTGGCCCGAGCTAACGGGCACTCTGTCCCGATTAAAGCGATTTTAGGTGATTGTTTAATTTATTTGGGCGAGAATATATTTTTATTACTAAATATCTAGGCGGGGTTCGGGCGGGAACAGAGAAGTCACCCTGCAATGCCTTATCGTTTAGGCAGATAAATTATTAAATTAGTCTTATTTTATTAGTATATATAGTTAGCTTTACAAATTCTATGTCAGATTCACTTGTTTCTATTTTTTTATAAATTTTTTCAATCTTATATAATTGTATTTGTAGGAAAAAAATTAAGAAGAGAAATTCTGGAACTAAACGGGGTGTGGTGGGTGTCCACGAGATAAAAAAGTTAAACGGGGCGGGGATAGGATGGAAAGGTCCCCCGTTTAGGCGATTTTGGGCGGGGCCCAAAACTGCCCCATTGCCATCGTATGGTCTAATTTAACTAATTATAACAATCAAATTATAATTAATTTTTTTCTTTTCAACTTTTTTTTTTTGCTTAAATTTTAATTTATTATATTACTTTAAAAAAATAAATTTTGTAATAATTTATTATAATTTTTTATTAAGTTTTTAAAATTTTATTTGTTTAAGAGTAACACCGAATAACCCATAATCTCAATATGAGTTGCAAATTGGAGTAGGTTGGATTAGGGTTGAACATCATATTTCAGGTTGGGCTTAAATTTAAGTTGGATTAGGGTTGAACAATCATATTTCGGGTTCGGCTTAAATTGTACCTCTAACGCGCCCAAGTTGCAGCCTTATAGAACAAATTACATTAAGGGTAGTTTGGTACAATAAAAATAGAAAGAAAGAAAATACTGGAGACGTATTAAACTAATCTCTCTGAACTATTGTTTTTTTTTTTTTTTTTTTTTGGAGTACCAAATAGCTCTTTTAACTTTTCAAAACCGGCTAAAGACCACCTCTTAACTATTCAATTCCGTTAGTTTTGTTGTAATTTTATAATTTTACTCCTTAAAATTATTCAAATTAGCCTGTTATATGTCTTTCTTTCTCTCTCTCTATGAGACTCTTATTTTTATTTTTATTTTTTTGGCAAACTAGGGGTAGAAAACTTAAAACACAAGCATACTCGTTTGGGGAGTTAGACGTTTTACTTGATAGAGAAACTCAATAATCTCGGATTCTTAGGATTTCTTAGTTTGAATTTCTTATACTTATATAGGTAGTTTCCTGATTGTTATTTAGTTTCCTTATTGTAAAATTTGACTTTCCTAGAATAGGATAATCTCGGATTGTTAGGATTTCTTAGTTTGAATTTCTTATACTTATCTAGATAGTTTCCTAATTGTTATTTAGTTTCCTTCTTGTAAAATTTGAATTACTTAGAATAGGATTTCAGTTTTACGCTATAAATATCTAATTTACTCAATGGAAATGTTGTGCCATAATTTTCTCATTCTTTTAAACCTTTTATGGTATCAAAGCTCTCTCCTCCTGGAACTGCAAAATCCAATTCTCTTACCACCCAAAACACCAGTCTCCGCCGCACCTCCTCCTTTGGCACAAACCATGGCCAACGAAAATAATCAAGCCACAATCCCAAATACACAGGAACCCACCAAACCCTTTATCATTATTGTTGATGTAAAAATTTGCACTCTCCAAAGCCGGTGGCAATTCTTGCAAGACATGTAACGACCCAGTCATTTGCCTTCTTTTCCTTTTTCTTAAAATTTTACGAATGAATTTTTTTCGTTTAATTTTCTTTTCTGAGCTCTGTTTCGTGTCGCTTAGTGTCATCTCGAGTGCTCGGAATTGGTTCCTGAGACTCTTTCATGTGAATTAACAATTCCCTTTGAGGACCGAGTCATTTTCGCATTTTTCGTTTTTCAGACACTATGCGCTATTTCGTCTTTTCCCTATTCTGTCATTTTCCCTATTTTGTCTTATCTCCGTTTGTTAGTTTTTGGCACGACCTCACTTCTCATGCTCGGAGTTAGTTTTTGACTTCACGTGCCTTCATCTTGAGTGATTTCCTCGAAATACGTATCTTTACTTTTGCAAGAAAGTACTCTGGTTGCTCCTGGTGTCCACAGGGGCATAGATGCACAATTCTTCAAAATCTTTTTAATTTTTTGGGGTATTTTTCGTAAATATCTTCTGAAGATATTTTATTTCAGGGGCATCTAAGAAAATATCTTTTGGAAGATATTTTCATTCTGGGGCAATTTCGCAGTTAACCCTTTTTGTAGGGGCCATTGTGCAATTAACGAAAGTTATTGCAAAAATGTCTTGTCTGGCGCCTGGATTCTCGTATGGGATTCATTTTTACTTTTCATTGACTCGTAAATTCATAAAATTTCCTTCTGGTCATTTTCTCCAGTTTCAGAGTTTCTGGACCCGGTTGCCGCCGAACTTGTTCGGGGCATAACTTTCTGTTCGGGACTCAGTTTTCAACTCCATTTCTTCCGTTATTCATATTTTCTCATGTTGAATCTTTTTTGTTCACGGAGTTTTGCCGTTTGAGTGCGTTTGCTCAAAATTCACTTTTTCGGACCCGGCGGGACCTTTTCGGGGCAATTTTTGAAACTTACTATAAATAGGATGCCCTAAAGTGGAAAATCAGATTTTGGTCATCTTCGCCACCTCTCTTGGCTAGATCTCCTAGCAGCCATGGCTGCCACTTTCTCTCTCCTCCTTTGGTCCACTTTTCATTGGTAGAAATCCTTCGGCCTTAGCATTTATTGCTTGCCTCGATGTGCTCTACCTTTTGCCCTTATTAGAATCCATTTCGGACGATTTTTTGAGTTCGGGTTTGGAGTCAAGTTGAGATTTTCATGGGGCTTCTTGCGGATTCTTCTTCACGGTGTTGTCCCCGACAAAACCTCTCGATATCGTCAAATTCGGAGCACTTTTATTTTGGTGGGCCTTTGGGATTTTCATCTCAAATTGAGGTAGGAGATATTCTAGGTTTAAATTCTTGTTATATAGCATGCTTGTGATGCTTATACTACTTGTTTGCATGATTAAATATAAAATTTAGAGATTTTATTATTTATTTTTCTTGTATGGGATCTAATTTTCCCGGTTGCTCATGACTTGGTTTAAACATGTAGCATGATTTTATATTGCCCCTTGATATGCTCATTATCGTGTATTAAAATTAGAACATTTGAATAAGTATTAAAGATTTTATTTAATATTTATCTTAGGTGAAAGATTAATTCACATGGCCTTAACTAGCTTGAAATTAATATGTGTTAGCATATTATATTAGGCCTTGGCATGCTCTTCAACATAGTTGAATTTGACAGTAATTGGAGGTGTTTTGAAAATTAGTAATTATTAATTAATTTGATTAATTAATTTGCCCTGATTGCACTATTCACTCCATTTGAATTCTGACTTAATATTCTTGATCTACATGCCATATAGCTTCACATATATTTGATTTAGAATATTCGGTTAGGTTTTGAAACCTTTTATTTAATTAAATTCCATGTTTAAGATTTAATCCTCATGGTGATATACAACTTGGAATTGTATTGTGCCATGCTAGAAAATTAAGCTTAGGTATAGTTGTTCACATATATTAAATTGGGATTAATTGCATGGGAATTGCAATTTTTAATTTATATTTAACTTTAGTGAAAATGTTAAGTCACATGGTCTTAAATTGAATGAAATAAACTTGTAATGTGATATTACATTAGTCCTTGGCATGTTTTCCAACATAGGTTAATTTGAGAGCATTTGGTTAAGTTTGAAAATCTAAAGATTTTAATTAAAAGAATTAATTAAAATCTATTTTGTGGTCTCATTAGCTTAATTAAGATTTTAACTTGATAGTTGTATTGGCTATGACTTGTTTACTAGTATATATTAATTGTGGACCATTTGAAGTTGCTTTAGAACCTTGGTAATTAAATTAGCATGATTTAATTAGAGTTCAACTTTGTTATTCCAATAACCTAATTGAGTTTTAGAATGGATATAGGTGATGACCATGCCATGTTCTTTAATATGTATTAATTTGAGGTTATTTGGAATTGAATTAGAATCTAGGGGAATTTAATGATTTTTATTTAATTAAATTCTATAGAATTGAGCCATGGATTTAATTGTGTTTGAAAGTCGTTTCTATATCAAAATCCTGGACATGGACTGGTTGTATATTCATTTGGTTATGTTTTGAGTATTAGATAACATAGTTGCTATGTTTGTACTTATGAGAATATATTTTCCTTATTGAATATATTGTTGCCTTGTGTAATGATTTGCACATTTCGTATTTAACATCATTCATGCATAGCGTGTAACGAATCGCACACTGAAGATTCGACATTCATCACATCATATTAGTTGTGGACTTAGAGTATGTATTGTATAGGTTTCCAAATTTGGTTGTGCTTGGTAGATAGTTGATTATCTTGCATATTCCCGTTGATATATGCGTTGTTGCACAACTTGTTGATTTTGGAAACTTGGGGATGTCGTTGTTTGGCTATAGCTAGGACGTGGTTCTAGTACGGGGGATAGTCCCTCTATATAGTCTAGTGCGTACATAGGGAGGTTACCCATGGGCTAGTAACCCTAAAATAACTATGTTGTCTGTTTGATCTGGCGTGACGTTCGAGTATCCACTTTGTTTGACTTCGCATTTCATTTTCAAGTTGATAACTAGATGATGTTGTAACTTGTTGTTCCTTATTTGTCATTCCATTTTAAGTTACATGATGTTAACTTTGCGAAATTGTGCTTTATGTGTTGTATTGGAAGTCCCAATGTTGGTTAAATTACATCGATATTGAAAATTGTGTTTTGACGTTCTAACATAGCTTAGGATTGATCCTATAGATTCATTTAGAACTTAGACGTTAGGTGGCATGAACCACCACTGTTATTTTGTGCTTTAGATTCTAAGTTGATGGCTGT